CACCCTCCCTAACCTACATCGCCGAAACCAGAACCCGCACAACCGGAGAGCGTACCTCGACCGCCCTCACAGTAGACTGTGTCCGGCACGAGTCACACTTCGTGACGAGGTCGGCCACATTACCTTGGCCAAGGATTGCTCCAATATGCCCCCGCGTGAGACCAGCAACGTCATGGCATTGTTGGGGTATTCCCCAAACGATAGTTGTTGTAGGGAGGCCGGCCACACGACTTCGGCTACGGGCTGGTTGAAGCAATCCCCAAATGATAGCTCCTGCAGGGAGGCCGGCCACACGACTTTGGCAATGGGTTGGTTGAAGCAATTACCAAATGATAGCTGCTGCTGGGAGGCCGGCCACACGACTTCGACGATGGGCTGGTTGAAGCAATCCCCAAATTATATCTGATGCAGGGAGGCCGACCACGCGACTTTTTTTATGGGCTGGTTGAAAAAATAACCAAGCGATAGTTGCTGCAACGAGGCCGGCCACGTGACGTCGGCGATGGGCTGGTTGAATGAGCCCCCAAACGATAGCTGCTCCAGGGAAGCCGGCCACACAACTCCGGCAATTGGGTGGATGAAGGTATCCCCGAACAGTAGCCGCTGCAGGGTCGCCGGCCACATGACGTCAGCAATGGGCTGGTCGAAGAAAACGCCGAACGATAGCTGTTCCAGGGAGGCTGGCCACACGACTTTGGCAATGGGCTGGTTGAATCTTCCCCCAAATGATAGCTGCTGCAGGAAGACCGGCCACACAACGGCCGCGATGGGCTGGTTGAAGCAATCCCCAAATGATAGCTGCTGCAGGGAGGCCGGCCACACGACTTCGGCGATTGGCTGATTGAAAGTATCCCCAAACGATAGCTGCTGCAGGGAGACAGGCCACGACGCCGTAAATACGGGCATGTCCGAAGAAATTACCAACCTTTTGAGTCTCTCAAGCCAAACCACGGAATCTTGGCTTGCTGCAGATGAAAGTCCCGCTCGGTGCCGACCTTGTGACCTTGACTGCAGCTCCGTGGCAGAACTGTGCAGCTTAACCTCCATCGGAAGTGCCCACGTCAAACCAAATGCCTGCACAGTCGGCACGCGACTCGATATGAAAACCTCTGGATTGCACGTGTGGAATGTGGTGCGTGATTTGCAAGGAGACCACAAGCTAGGAGGCTTTTGTCGATCAACCCGCACGTGTAAGGTCTGGACACTTCTGCACGCCTCACAAAACCCCAGTGATACAAGCTGTAGCTCCAGCGTAGACGTATACCAACGCTTTTCTTGTCCATCGCAAGCCTGGTTCAACGCGACCATGAAAGTGTTCAGGCACTTGCTCTCGCCTGAGGTTGTTTATTACAGATATACGAATAGGAATGTAAACCGGAAAGTGTTGTGAAGTTTCGGGCAGCTTCTTGCTGCTCGACTGGTTCGATGAGTTCGGGAGCAGGGAAGAAGGGAGGAGAGGAGGGGGGAGTTATTTCCAACTAACAACGGTCACCGCCTCCTGACAACCGCCGACAGTAGCCCTTGATCACCATGCACAGCGTATCCTGTGATTGATCACCTCCTTCGAACACTACTTGGGGCGAGCAAACGCATCGTTCGGCCGGCCGCTGAAAGACTCATGAAAAATCAGCCAATCGGGCTATTCGGTTGCAACATTGATGAAGTGAGTCTTGTACATGCAACTGGGAAAATTTCGATTGAAATGACAGGATTGACACAAGAGCAACTACTCTCCGCCAATGAGGCTTTGCGCCACCATTCCCGACGATGCCGGGTCAGCAGCTCCTCCACCCAAAACTCGATGATCAACCCCGTCACCCTTCGTTCGTGTGCCTGTATCGTCAAGGGTGACATGTGTCTCCAATGTCCAAGCACATTCCCTCCAGGCGAAACAAGGTCAAATGTATGTGCCGCACCAGTTGTATCTGCGGGATTTGCGTTCATTTTCTCTGCTCAAGTCAGGGGTAGAAGCAGCATCTGCCTCTGGTGGGGAAGTCATGTCCCCCGTCTTCGATTCAATAGCCACCACATGGTACCATGTGTTTGGGAGCCCACCTCTTAGCCCTCAAGGAACCCCCCGATACGTCCCTGCCCTTCTAGCTCGCCCCTGCTATATTTTGTTACAGACTTCCGGCGGCAACAGGAATAGGGCTCCGCTGAAGCACATGGCAGCTCGTTTTCGCTTGCTTGCTATTTTGACACGCACAATCGACCGCGCCGTGCGGCCCGACCAGCGCCAGTCTCGACGGACAAGGGCTATATTCTGACTTATCATACATTTGTCCCAGCAGGTCAGCGGGCGACGGGCGAGACATCGCAAAACTCAGAAGTAAATGAAAATTGCTAGAGCACAGCGGTGGCCGTCGAGTGCAGAGGACAACGCGAGTCTAGCAAGGTAGCGCATCTTCTGTCTTTGACGGAGCGGCGCGAATAGCTCGATTCCTGCAAGTTCAACACCGAATAGTGCGTCTCGTTTGATATTTTATTAACCCCGATGGCAGTCTTTGGGGCATTGATTCTCTCCTTGCTGGGAAGAACCGAGAATCGGAAACTGGTCCGGATTTCTGTTGTCTTGTGTTAATGTGTGATGACGATGATGTTGTTGTTGTCTTCACATCGAAATCGTTCCGGTCTCTACTGGGTACCGGTCCGATTCAACCCCTCTCACCTTCGGTAATCATGGCAACCGCTGTTCACCAATACTTCTGTAGCAGTGCGGGCGTGCCTGCGAGGGTCAGAGGGTGCCTAGAAGCAGACGGCGGAACCCCTTTAAAGGTTGGTCGGGTCGGCCTCCCGCCCTCCAATTGGCTGGCCAGCCAGAATGTAATACAAGGTGAAGGTACGATGCAGTTGATGGATGCCACGATCATAGACCTGCTTCAGAATAAGTGCGATACATGGAGTTCAAATTGACGGGGACGTCATTTCCCAAGTGAACGATTCGTATTTGCAAAATCGTTGAACGTACGTACATCGGGTAGACGTTCGTGTTGGGAAATGTACGAATTACAGCAACAAGTTGCAATTATCTCCTGGCGCCTCGATGGAACGGGGGCAGCCACCGGTCCACGCGAAAGGCCTCACCAAATCCAACGCCTACATAAAAAGCCAACAGAAGAAGGTGGCGGTTACAGACTCATCTTGGCGTCCATCAGTCAGCGGGAGGGAGGACTTGCGTTGTCTTTGTAACATACCGTTAATCGGTGAAACCCCGGCGTTCTCATTCATCGCGCCCAGACAACAAACAACACGTCGCTAGCACGACCGAAGTCCTGTACGGAGTATCCTCGTGCGACATATTGGCGCATTCGGTGTCTGACGGCGCCAACTCACATAGTTCAAACACCTAGAATTCGGGAGGAATGATATCAACCATTCCCCCCTTCTCAAATCATTCCTCCCGGAATATGCTTACACAGTATTATCGTCCCACTTATCATTTCTACAACTGCAAGCACGAAAGACGTGTTCAACGGAAAATAGGGAGATATCGGAGGTAGGGCGTCGGTGGATTAAGGAAGTCAAAGTTGCAAGGCGTAGTGTCCTCTTCTGCGTACAAGAAAAGGGTTTGCGTGTTTTTGCCCGCGTACACAAAAACCTCGTGCGATCGACCAAATGAGGCGTTTGCTTGTGTAGAACGATTCCAATGCGCCATGGCCGCCTTGAAGCAAACTCCCGGCGGCCATGCATGAAAATCGATGTAGCCAAGGAACATAGAAAAGTTTACGCTTGTGGTGTCACACCGGGGGGTGTATGCGAACAACCAACAACATTTGTGGTACTTGCCATGATTGCGTCTCATAGTTTTCGCTTGAATTACCGTGGCTACAGAGAGAACACAGGTTGCGTTATCGCACACATATGCACATGAGTGACGCGATCCCAACAGGCCTACGGACTCCATCCACCTGAAGCGAATTGGTGCCCTACTAGGGTGTGATATGGTACTGTTAGACCTCGAGATTACAATTTTTCCGGGCAAACAAGTGTCCTCGGTCGTTCATCGAACAGATTATTTTCCAGTTCACAATGACCAATCAAGCTCCTAGTACAGGCGGCTTACGTCACCAAAACTCTGCGAAACACAACTCCTACTTTGTACAACAACACCAAGCGTACGAGGTGCAATGCAAACAACGCACACAGTCACCAGACCACCAGCACTTGGTGGGTCGGGAGCACTGGAATAGCACATCGGTTGGAGCGGCAGCGTGTGTATTGGTATGCGCTGGCAGCAGTAGCAGCAGACTCGGAACAAATATGCATGAGGAAAAATAGACCGAAGAAACTCGTAGTCAACAAAGGCCGTTTTTGGCGTTGTTTCTATCCATTCTGCCGCCGCCCACAAGCTGCCTTTGGCGATCCAGACCTTGCTGCCTTTGGCGATCCAGAGCACATGCTCCACTAGCGCTGCTCACACTGATTGTCGGAAGGTCTCAACTGTGCTCGCCCTCCATAAATTGGTCTCGAAACACACGCGAGAACGATAAAAAGACACAATCAATTTTGAATCTTGAGTTCGAAGTCTACGGAGCAGTGTCTCAACTACTAGTCTAAGCATTGAGCACAGGTATTTACTACGCTACAATACACAGTATGTAATCGAAGTAGGTTTTACTGCCGGAGGGTCGGCGTCTGAGCCCGGTTTCTTTACAACTGAACTCTCCAGAGTTACTGCTGTGTAGTACACATTGGGCAGTGGGCACGGTTGGGATGGAAACAATCCAGAGTGCTTCTTCGAACACTGAAGAACTGGGCGCGCGTCACACCAAGGCAGAGCAGAACAGGATCGACAAGGGGTGCGTGTGTGTGTCCAGTAGAGACTATTGAATGCTATGCATAGGCGTGCTGGTTCCTCTCCTGTACCTGCTCCTGTCCTGTTGCTGCTGTAGGGTCCCGAGCCCCGAGAGGTACAATCCCTGGGGGCGTTCTTACGTGGTGATTGAGTGGAGTAGAAGCGTGCCGACTGTGGGCCTTCGAGGAAAACAGTAAGGCTGAACATGTTTCAGAACTGCCCTAGGTGAGACTATGCATACGAGTGGCACTACTTTAGACTGTGCGTGTGCTTTCTAGGGAGGAGAGAGAAACGGTGTGTTGGTGTTGGTCGATTCGTGTGCATCATATGTCAAAGGAGACGGCTTACCGGAGACGGGACTCGACGGGGCGTGCTGACCCGCCCGAGCGTGATGCAGTCCTTGCGAACGTAAAGGTTCGAGTTTTGCCGATGCCGCCTGCCGCCTGGCGAGCTGGCCAGCATGTGGGGAAGTTGGATGGGTAAATGGTACTTTACATGATGGGTACACGAGACTGCATGAAAAATAAATACACACACAGAAAGACTACCCATTCGAGATATACCCACAGTCGACCGGGATGTACTTGGTACTTGGGATTGTTGGTTGCGATTCGGGAGAACCACCAAAGTGCGGCGTAATCAGGCTGACCTGACGCACCCCCAACTCTCATAAAAGTGTCATTAAGTTGTGTGTGGGGCGACACGTGCCCAAAAGCTGGGGGCAGCCTATAGACCAACAGCAGCGGCCATGGCACCCGTTACAGCATCTACTTTCCCACTGGTAGCCCTCTTCTTGGGTTCTACCACCGCCTTCCTTGCTCCCAGCGGCCGGGGCGCCTCAACATGGTGTGGACCGAACGCACAGCAGCATCAGTCAGCAAGGGCAGGTTCAATCACCAGGCGCAGACCTTATTCGGCCGTGCTTCAGATGGCTACCGGCGACGCTGGCGATGCTGCAGAGCAGAAGGCGAAGGCGCTTCGGGAAGCTGCTGCGGCGATGCGCGCGCAGGCGACTGAGCTGGAGGAGAAGCAGAAGCGCGAGAGACGCGAAGGGGCAGACCGATCGTTTGCGGCGTTCGACTCCAACAAGGACGGGGCGGTGGGTGTAGCAGAGCTCAAAGCAGGGTTGGAGGGTCCACTCAAGAAGACCTTTACCAAGCAGCTTACCACTCGCATGGGACGGAAGCCTACACCAGAAGAGGTGAGCGCCTCGAAAACGAATTGTCAGTAGTTTCTACAACCATTGATGCTGCAGCAGGAGGAGGTAGGGGGTTAAACCTCGCGCCGCAGGTGGGAATCCTTGCCGTATACTGCTGTAGATGATTGCCGCGTACTGTAGCGATCTTCCGGAAAGCTGCAAGCTGATGGGCTGCTAGAAGCTCTCTCATCGTGTACAACAAGCTGCAGTCAAGAATCAGCGCCCAAGCTTCAAGCACAGTTTTTTTTTTGCTACTTTCTTGCACAAGGGCGGCTCCTGTACATGGTCCCAATCTGTTGGGCGGGAACATTTTGCACCCCCAACACTCCGCATCGGTGGCAACAACTCGTTCCTTCCCTACACTCGACCGACTGGTGAATTCATCATTTTTATGGGGGTACAGCAGTGTTCTTACTTCTACCAGGCCCTTTATCCTGCACGACGTGTGCGGTTGTACAGCAGTTTTTCCGACGCGGGCTTTGTAGTCTAACGGCAACGCTCTGATGTGTTGTACGGCAAACTTGGTCTTGGAGAAGGCTATTCCCCATCACATGTCATGGTACAAATCTTTGTTATTAAGTCTTCCAAGACTTGTGAGGTGGCCAGAAGTGCTCCCCTATTACAGTACTTCTTGGCCCAGTAGTTGAAACTGGAGCACGAAAGATGTCTGTTCTTTCAACGATCGAGACTTTACTCCAGAATGCTGCCCAACGACCAAGTTGGCCACATCGCCATGGAATCTAAATGGGACATACCGTGTTTGTAGAGGGTTCGTAAACACCCTATAGGTGCATGGTCTTGGCGCTGCCGGCGCGGAGAGCGGCCGCAACCATGACAGGCGCTCGGAAGACAGCATTTTGGGCTCAGTATCTGCCGTATGCAGTAGTGCGACATTCGAGCAATCGTTTGGGTTAAAGTGAAGAAAGATAGGTTTATCGAAAATATCTTAATCTTGCACAACGCTCCTATGCCATCTACTGATCACGGCGCGCCCGTGCCTATCCACTTGCAAAATGAAACGAGGAGAGTCGATGCATGTGACAGCATCGATCGAAGCTTTGACCTCGATACTGGGGCGATGGAGAGAGACGGAGTGCGGGAGAGAGAGAGAGAGAGAGAGAGACAGACAGACAGACAGACAGACAGACAGACAGACAGACAGACAGACAGACAGACAGACAGACAGAGAGAGAGATGTCCGTCGGCGTCGTCTGTTGTCGGCTCGAGATGTTTTTCGGTGGTCGGGAGGAGCATCGAGAGAATGTTCCTGTGCGCATGGTTCGTCTCCCGACGTCTCTTTTCCATACGTGACCAGCGCTCGTTGTTTTCAGCCGTCGGAGCAAGAGTGTAAAGCTTGGGTGGGGTGTAGCTTCAAAAAACGCATGAGCGCACAGTTTTCGTAACCCTGTGGGCCCATGTGTGTCACATCACTTGAAGTGAGGGGAACCCAGCACGCAACGATTTTGAAAAGTCCTCCCGCAACACCATGGAGTGCTGCCTTACCGACCGGTGCACGACCTTCGTCGGCAGAGTGTTGACGTGAAGATTTTGGGCGGTGGGAACTTCAATGCGTTGCACAACGCGTTATTGCGAGAAAAAGCGCGGATGCCACAACCTATTCCGTTGTCTCCATTTTCCCGCGCCAAGACACTCTTCTTTTCAACCGCTTCGGCAGACAACCTCATGAATGACTCCAAAAAAACAGATCGATTTGCAACGAAATTGAACCTGTTGTCGACGTATTTCAAAAGGATCTTGCGTGATACTTGGAAAACCTGCACTTTTGCCCGACAAAAGAAGCTCAAACCCGTGCTCCAACAGAGCAGAAGGGTGGTTTTCAGCTCCATCAATGGCAGCCACGACCGCCGAAGAAGGTCATCTAGGTTCTTGGCGGTCGCCTTGCGTAACATCACGGTCTCGTCCCACCTCGATCCCTAATGTCTCCCGCATGCGGGTGCGTCGTCGTCACCCCCCCCCCCGCCGCCGCCGCCGCCCGGCACGATACTCGTCTTCCGATGGCACCAAACGCTCAGGTGGAGGCTAAAATCTTGGAGCTCCCCGGGGGTGCGCTGTTCCCCGACGACCTCGCGGAGCGACTGATCAAGATGTACGACCAGAACGGGGACGGCGTGCTGCAGCAGTCAGAGTTCGCGCCGACTGAGGAGCTTCGAGCCAGGCTCGAGAGCATCTTCCGCGAGCGGCGAGAGGAGGAGCTGGAGGCGCGACAGGCGGAGCGCAAGCGGGAGATGGACGCCAAGACGAAGGGGAAAGGGAAGATGCTGTCCTCGGTAGCCGACAGTGACAGGGAGGCCGCTTCGGCGACGAGCCTCGAGAAAGCATTGTGCGCGTTGCCGTACATCTTGCCGCTTTCGGATGGGATCGTGTACGCCCAGCACATTTATTCCACGTTCCCGCAGCAGATGGCATGGTCGGAGCCACTTGTGGTAAGCAAACGTTTAGGTGTTGTCTCTGATCCTTGATAGACCAGCGAAACTTCCATTTTCTCGGCTCTCTCTTAGTTCCACCCTGCTACCTTGAAAGCATCCCGAATGGTTCATCTGGACCTGGATTTTTGTATTTTTGTAATGCTGCAGCAAGGAATAGGTTAGTGCATTAGGAGATGTGGGTGGATGCTTAGTTTGATGTTTGTTGAACCTTGTGATCATGTTCGAAATCCAGGCAGGCTCCGGTACGTATGCCCGCAGTCGTCGTCGAAGGGGAGTTTCGAACATCGTATCAATCAATCAACGCTCCTGGAAGCGGTGGTGTTCGTCGCAATCAAATCTAAAACATAACTCGACCTATCAAGAACACTATTAGTGACCACGACGGCCAGCGCACACCATACACACTGACACCGGATCACCAGTAAGGAATCATGCGCGTTCACACGGGCGGGACGGGAACACTAGGTTTGCCCACATCATTCGGATTCGTTCCCAGCAACAGGGTCCTATATGTATGAGAGCGGGCAAACAAATTCCCGAAACGAAATATAGTGGTTTTGCTTGTTTGTTGCCTTCACATTTGTTCTGGAGGTCGATTGGAGGGTCGGATTGCGAGTGGAACGTAAGCATGAGCTGAGACTGTTGTGTTTTGGCTTGCCTCAGCTTCTCACACGAGATGTTGAATGTTAGCACCGAGCTGTTTTAGGTTATTATTGTTTTTGGCACACAGGAGTTAGCATGTTTCCACAAGTCCCGAATTAGGCAGGAGGGCAGTGAGTTGTGCATCGCCAAATCTGCGCCGGATGTAGCAGTTACGGTTTGCCAGCACTACCACAGGGGCGGCCCTTAGTGCTTTATCTGTTGTCCAGATCCATCGAGATGCTCTTTACACAGATGTGCATAGTGAGAGAACCAACTCGTCACAAACCAGACCAGTACCCAGCAGCACCTCACCCGAAAAACGCTCCCACAAGCGGGAAATGAAACAAAAAAGCAACAAATGAGGACTGTCATTAGGAAATTGACGTGTTTCCGTGTACGTCTAGCTGATATCGGGCTAATCTGGAGGTCCCACGGTAATTTTCACCCTGTTTACGGTTAGCACGTGCTCCGATCAGAGCAATTCTTACCTCACGCGTTTTTGACTCTCGTACCATCTGCGCGTGCGCTCTCACGTCTTCCGAACATCTACCCTGCAGGCGATCCTAATTGCGGTGAACAACTTGCCGTTCGCGACCCTGGTGGCGTTCTTCGGCATGGTGAGTGCCCCTATGGTCTCTGGTGACCTGCCACTCGATTTTGGGCTGTTTTTGCCATCGTCATACACAGCAATGTATACAAGTTTGTTCTTCAAGCGGTTTGTGACAGCAGGTTAATATTCCTCCGCAGTCTTTACGACGGAAGGCTAAAATCTAGCTGGCTCACCCTGTCATACGCACCTGTCCACGTTGCTCTCTGCAGTCCATCTTGTCCAGCAACCAGAACATCAACAAGCTGCTGAGATTCAACATGCTCCAGGCGATCAACTTCGACATCGCACTCATCGTCCCGTCCGTATTCGGGCCGCTTTTGACCTGGTCCCTGGGGTCGGACGCCTACAAGATCTCTCCCATTACGGACATAGCGACGGATATCATCTCGGTATCTCTGGTCTTAGCGGTGGCGTACTCGATCTCTGCCTCGGCCACCGGTGCGATCCCTAACAAGATTCCGTTCTTCGGGAAGATCAACCGCGTGACCCGCGACGATAGCTGAGCGTTGTCGGTTCGATTTTGATTGGGGATAACGTCGCTTTTGGATCGTCCGAATCACATCCCGTCTCCGTCAAAATGATTTTCAAAGGTCCTCGTATGGAGGACCAAATCAGCGAAAGTGGATTCGTGCATTGACTCGATTGATGGGTCTGGTTCGGGTCTGCTTGCCCTTGTTGGGTGTAGGGTTACCACCAAAGCGGGTATTTCGTGATTCGCCGATTCCTCCGAACATGGAGGAAAATCTCAACCATTTCCAGAGTGACGAAGTAGTGGAATATGTGCGTGTTAGGTTTTTCCCATGGGAGATTTGGGGACCCGTGTTTTGTGACAGCCAGTGCAGGACCCATCACTCTCGGGGTCATGATTAGTTCTTGGGATATTGTTGATTTGCAATCGTCTCACATTTATTGACTGGTTTTGCCTTTCACTTTTTTCTTGCTCAACGATGTGCTTTGTTGATTCGGTGTTCGACATGGGCAACGCCGGCCAAGACATGGCGGGCTGTAAGAGTTGCACTGGAAGCAACGCGCGGAACTTAGCAGATGCGCAGCGTGGGAGCCAGAAGCCTCCTCCTTAGCAAAGAGTAGCAATACCGACGTCCTATGCGATGTCCTATGCGGATAGGACAAACCGTCCCTCCTGGAGGGCTCGTTCCTTGAGTTGACTTGTGGGTCAACGTGAATCGCTGCGGTTGCCACCGTCGTCGAATGACGTTACACGAGAGTTAGCACCTGACCTTTTGATCATGACATGTCCTTAGCTCATTGCCCTTATTCTTTGCTTGTTGGAGAATCACTGTCCTCCTTCATCTCCGAGAGTTCGCCCATGCCCGGTGAGCTTACAGGGATATAGAATATCCCGGGGGTAGTCCCCTGTCTCGTCTGAACCCCGCTCCCCGCTTTGTGTTGTTACCTCCGACACGAAAGAGTCTGAAGATTATATGAAGTTCAAAGGAAAACTAATGGACGTTTTCCCTGAATCCCCTTTAGGCACCTCAGTTTCTGTTCCCACAATACAAAGTCAGAAAGATTTTGTGGACGTTTCCTGGGGTAAATTTCTTGGGGAACGCCTTTTCCCCAAGTTCTTGAGTAACTTACGTTTGTACACCGGTTCTAAGCCCCAGCGATGCCTTCTTCTTCGATCAGTACTCTCGAGACCCCCTTCTACGATTTTCAATGGACGGATGCGCGGCTACTGCATGCATGCACTCCGTGGTACAAGTGTTGTACAAAAAGTCTGCGACGGAATTCACTACAATTCGCGTCTCGTTTGGCGTGCAAGGGCTAGCCACGCATCTGCTCAGGGCGTGAAGCATATTGCAACGAAAAAAGTATCATTACGGGTGTGAAAGATGGACAAGCACACCTTCCCTGGAAAACTGGGATCGAGCACACAACCAGAACACACGTCACTACCGAAATACTGGACCAAAAAGAAGATGAGATTGAACGCATGGAACATGAAAATGGTTCTTGGTTCTAATTAACTGCAGCAACGACCAAACGGAAGGCTTCTTCTTAGAAAACGCGAAAAATAGTGTCATGCATGAAATCCCCAACAATCCAATTGACCCTCGTCGTGCTACACGCAAGGCTTTCCCTCTCGGCCTCTCCCGCCCGCGGCTCATTATTGTGCAACGAGTGATAGCCAAAGTCATGTAGTGACCACCACTAACGAAGGAGAGGGTTCACATAAACAGAAGTCTTTCTTTTTCGACCATCGACGCTCTACTGGAAAACATCGTCAGCCTTGCCTTTCTACGACGTTCCTTCCTCCAAGGCGCTGCTACACGGGCTTTCCCTCCGCACGGAATCTTGGCCGGAATCCGACCGCCCCGTGCCGGCCGACCCCTTCGTGTCGGCACGAACGAGACAAGCTGGTACCACCGACGGCCGAAGAGGAGGTCGACGAGGGGTTGAAGTCTGCAACGCGCGCGAGCGCGAGGCGCTGTGGACGGAGAGCTGTTCAAATGCCAACAGGGTCCCCGCCGCGACAACGTACTCATCCATCGTCTGCTGCATGGAGAACCATGAGGCCAGCAGCACCGCCATGATGAGGAACATATTGATTCCGATCATGATAGCACCGAAGACATCGTGGTTGCCGTCCACTCCAGAGTCCACCTTGATCAACAAAGCTAGAAAATTGCTCAGGAAGATGCACAAGCAGCCCTGCGGTTGGGTATGAATTAGTGCATAGCGGGCAAGCACCGGGAGGGGACAACGTTCAAAGGAGTCAGAGTTGCGGGTGTAGAATACCTGAGTCGTAGGTGCTCCGGCCGTGGCCGCGGTTGAGCTTCTGAGCCTTCGTTGTCACAACTCACCAGGCGGTACAACCACGAATCCACGGGGTCCAGATGAGGCCGCAGGAGCTCAAAGCCCAGAAGGCTCACGAAGGCAAACATGCAAGCTGCGGCCACTTGTGCTGCCGTGTTTGGTGAGATGAAGACCAGCACTCCTGTCAGAAGTATCCTTCGCCCGCACTCGACCACCTCGTAGTAGTAGATTTCGGGACCTGCGCATGGTGGACAGACCGTGGTTCCAAAGGTAGTACGTGATCGCCGAATGAACGTATTAACGATTCGCCGCCCCAGAAAACGCGAGGGGGGGAGGGGCGCGGCTGCATTTCTACCTGTCGAAGCCAGCCGAAGTCACATTGAGGGGCACACATGACTTATCGCAACATACACAGAGTAAACATGGGTAGGAATTGAGGGGAAAGTGTGCTCCGAGCTATGCGCTGCAAAGATTTCCGCTACTATAGCCCCTCACCGAAGTCTTTCCACAGGAACATGGAGGGGATCAGGTCAGGGTTGCGCCTGCGCTTCTCCAACTTCTCTTCGAGATCCTCTGAGTTAGCCTTGTAAGTAATTCGGTCTGTGCTTCCATCCGCTCTCGGATTGACGACGGCGCCAGTTTTCACACGAGGGTTGAGCGACTCTCGGTTTTGCCAGAGAATGAAGGCGTAAAGTAGGGGGATGCCGACCGGGTATACCTTTGCGGGTGTGATGGAGAGACGAGTGGGAATCCCACCAGTAAAGACGCGTATTTGTATGTTCGAACATGTAGGGGAACGGGATGAAACACATTGAGACGCGTCACTCAGACACGAACAAGCTGGGCGGCGCAGGTCACGAGGAACAATTGGTAAATTGACACGTGATCCATTCGCTGATAAACAAGGGACACTTTGTTGGCAAGACCAACCACTGAAAGCTGGGAACGTGAATGAAAGCCCTCACCATGATCATGACCCCAGCGTAGACCTTGTACCACTCGTGCTTGTCGGTGTGGCACTGTATGCTGTAGTCCGCCCTGAGGTAGCTCTTTCCCTCCACCGCTTCATCGTCGCAGGCGAATGTCTTGAACGCCATGGTAGAGGTAGCGATGAACACCTGTACAATTCGTCGGTGTTGGTGATCAAGCAGATTGTGCACAATGATCGTGCCAGATTCAAGGTTCTTCTCGGAAACGAATATTGAAACTCGAGAAACTGTGCGCCGCTAATCAGATTCATTCAATATCGAACTAACATCTCTCGAGCAGAAACCTGAGGTACGTAGAGAGGCACACTAAAACAATCACGACTCCGAGTAATATCGCAACACGAATCAAACGGGTGTGGTGGGAGATTGGCTGGGTTATGTCATGCGTTATGACGATTTTCACCACTAACCGCTTCTGTCATTCATCCGTTGTTTGGACGTCAGATTAAGCACCAGGCGCTGGGCACGCGGCAAACAGCTGTAGATGGTGAACTTCGGAACCTGGAACGAAAACGAAAATGAAGCTACCTACAGTACATCTAGATCCTGAACGAGCATGACACACTGCCCGGTCGGACCGTTGTCTGTTCGGGCGAACATTGACCGAATACCCGGTTCGGGTGAGGACTCACCAAGAATGACAGCAACAGCCCTGCCGCCATGTGCCGCGACCACGCCGCCCTCCGCATGAGAGACCCGGCTGATCCAGCCCCAGCCCTGCGCTTCGCAATCCAATACGTCAACACCAGCACCATGGCCACCCCTAGAGGCCCAAGGGTCGTCAGCAACAGGCTTTGGTAGAAATCCATCACGGGAAAGACACACGAGGCTGAGAGCACGTGCCCAAGGTCGAAGCTCAGCATGTCGATCCACGACAAGAACCGGGCGTAAGCAGGGGGGAAATCCACGGCAGTGATGCTGGGGAACACCGACAGGATCTGCCACACCACCACCAAAATCTTCAGCTTGTCCATCGGCAGTCGTGCAGCCCACCGCTTGATCTTCTCGCCCTGTCCGCAACATCCCGGCTGGTCGCCTCCCCTTGCCATGGGCGGAGCGTGGTCATCCTCGCCGTCGGTATCGCTGGACGCGTCGGATTTCATCTCCGAAACGTCGACCTCCGAAATAGGCACCGATGTGACGCCCTTGCGAGACGCAGCTCCCTCGCCCCTACGTTCTTCAACCTCAGAGCCAGTCAGCGCATTCCTCCCGATGGATTTGCCCGAAGACCCTACCTTGTGTGAGCTGCTATCGCGACCAGACAGCACAGATCTGGTAGAAAGCGACCGCCGAAGTCCCTCAACGGCATCGAGACCCCCTACAAGATACACCACCGCCAATATTACCAACAGCAGAATCACGAGAGCGAACAACGATCCTGCCGCAATGAGCAATCGCGACTTGGTACCCTCGCAGGAGTGGCAGGTGTTGCCGGCGCCCCTACCGAAGCCCTCGGTACACACAGTGCAGTCTGTTGCCAACGGAAATACGGAGGTAGTCAAATAGGGGTTAAGACAGGGTCAGGAAACTGACTGGGCATCAGCAGCCGAGATGGAACAGTACTACCATGGACAATGTCGCCACCCACATGCCAGGGCAGCCATCTTTCAGCCTCTCACCAACGCAACCCCAGAACCAACGCATACATTCTCCGCCCGACTCGAAACAACTCGATCTGGTTGATTGGCCTCCTCAACAGTGGTACTTCACTCACATGGACCCTGGTATCCTTCGCCGCAGTAGTCCTGTGCGCTCGAAATCTGAGTTGCACCAACACAAGCCGTATGATGAACGCATTGATGGATGCTCAGCGACTCCCTGCTAGAGCGCCAATAACCCTCCCGAATAGGCAGTGAAGCCAACGTCGCCCCAGGGAGCTCACAGTCCAGCCCCTCCGCACCGTCGATATTCACACACTGCTCGCAAGAGAAAGCGGCGTTTTCGTCATCCACTGGCATGGCGTACTCAAACGCCTGGCAGAGGTAGAACGCCGAGTAGACCTCAACATCCACACCAGTCGTAGAGTCCGGCGTTCCGCTGCCAACAGATGTGACAACGAATTGGCTGACCAGATCACCCCCCACCTCTTGCCCCTGGGGGCTGCCGGTAACGAGCACGGTAGCGTCTTCTCCGGGAGGCAAAATTCCACTAGACGGAAGCACTTGCAAGGACAGTTCGTCTGCATCGAACGTCAGGTTCCAGATGGCGGGTGTACTTCCGTTTGCTGTTGCTGATACCAGGAGCTCGAAATACACCAAATCGGGACTGTACGTCACGTCGGGGGGAGGTGTCTTCAATGCAATGGATAGAGCACCACCGCCGCCCAAGCACTCGTCGTCCTCGAGACACTCGCAAAGCACGCCAAGCGCGCTATCCACGCATTCTCCAGAACCACAGATGTTCAGGTTGTCACAGCCCAAGGTTCTGTCTACAAGAGCAAGAGAGTTGTTCACCACAGCAGCGTTTTCGATGGTGAGATCGCCCACAAGGGCATTACGGATTCTGGCGTCCGAGTTAGGTGAGGTGACTACCATGGCCGCAGCGGTGTCACCGAAGTCGCAGCTGTCCAGCACGAGGGAGCCTTCGGCGGGGTTGGCATTTTGGATCACGCTGTCACCCGTCCAGCCGCCAAACACGCAATCCTCGGCGATCAGCGTCGCTCCGCCCTCGAGTTGTATGGCGCTGTTGGACGAATCCTCCTGCAAGCTACCCCCGGACTGGAAGCTTACGTCTGACGCGATGACCGAGGTCTCGGTAACGTAAACCACGCTACTACCAGACGTTTCGGTATCGAATACCGTGTGGTTCTGGAAATTGGCGACCTGAACGGTGCTGGTAAGGTAAGCGGCGGCCCCCTGTGGCGCTTGGTTGCAAATAAGGTCACAGCTGGAGTTTACCCAGGTGGCGTCTCGGGCGTAGATGCCCCCACCCTGATCGCCAGCGGTATTTGCTTGGACAATGGCACCCTCGCAGGAGAGACTAGCCTCTTCCTCGAGAAAGATGAATCCGCCGAAAAACCTGACAGGCAAAGGAAGAAAGCGAGTGAAACTGATGTGCGGCCGAAGTGTGTACGACGTCATCATTTGTAGTATCGTGAAACCGAAGCGGGCGTCGTCACGCACCGCACCCGCTGGCAGTGTTGCACCGATTGGCAGCACAAGGGCACCACGACGAGCGCCAATCCGATCAACATAAGGCTGAGCGAAGGCGAAACATTTTCTCAAGCACTCACTTGGCGGTGTTGTTCAGGAATTCCCCCCCCTTGATGGTCACGACGGTAGTGTCTCCCCAAGCCACAACTGCCCCCCCTAGTTCCAGCGCCTCGTTGTTGCTGAACGTGCCTCCTTCGATCGTGACTTTGGAGCCTCCCATATCCAGGAACTCTCCAGAGCAGTACACCTACAGCAGGGTATAGTGACAAAGTGAAGGCATCACGAGGCTCAAAACTACCGGTCGCGAGTAAACCTCGGCCGCGGAACGAGGCAGCACGTGTTGCTTCCTGCGTTGCCGCAGCAGACTTCTGAGATACCCCCCCCCCACCCGCTCCATACACAGACCTTGAGATACTGCCCAATAAGCACACCGGGTGCGCTCTTTCAGCTATACGCAAAAAGCGATCGTCGTCTCGAGTTCTGACCTTGGAGAAAGTCAAACCTAACCTGATATATTTCGTTCACAATATTGCGGTTGAACCCCACAAGCAGTTGTTTGACAGGGGCGGGAAGGGACGATGTAGGAATGCTCACACTACTACTATGGTAGTGACAGAGATGCGTACCGGACACGGTCAGCTACTCCGTGCCTACTCACCGCGCCAGCCCTCCTGTCGGCCACGTTGTTCGACACCGCTGCCCCCTTAATCGTGACGTTCGCGCCGTCCGTGGCATACAGGAAACCACCGCTGCTCACGGCCCTGTTCGCCGTGAAATTGCCTCCCTCCACGCTGATGTAGCTGCCCGCAAATGCGACTGCGAAACATTTGTGACGATCAGCACATCTACACATTCATCCTTCGGTGCACGGACATGAAGTTTGAGGGCGATCTGAGACGACACCCAATACTTTTCGCCGCCAAAAATCGAAATGGTCGCGTTCAACAATTGCTCTGGTCTCCGTACTGGATGCATGACTGGTAACGGCAACATCCCCAGCTACGATTGAAACAAATGTTGCTAATACCGCCGGTGTGGCCTAGGGTGACCACGGGGAACCAAAGCAATCGCGTGCAAGTACCTCGTGTGCATGTAGCCTTCGGCGAAACACATGCCTCTCGCATACTCGGATGTCGGGATAACGTTGGAAACCCTATCGGGGGGAGCAGTCAATCGCCTCTTGTAAAGCGTCCGAGTTTATTTCTGTCACTCCCAACCCATGCCCCATGCTTGGAAGTCTCCGGTACAGAATAGCAGTGGCGGGTCAGGGCCTTCAGCACACAAAACGAGGACGATCTAACCCATTCACAACAGCGTTTTCGGTGCGTGTGCCTGCAACTTTGCACTTGTGAGGGAGGTAAAACCCGACTTCGGGGTGGATCGTCGCTGTGAGGACAGTTATTTCCAAAACTCCCACGACTTGTGCTATTGCTGCGGTATGTGTAGCTGAAGACAAGTGCTGCCAGCACGGTGTTTCTGAATATCGACATGACCCACCTGCTGCGTGTGGCTGCTCACGTTACCAGGAATTAGTTTCCCGGTGCCTCGATTGCCTACAAACATCGCTGATTGGAGTCGACTCCAAAACGAATATATACGGTTTGACCTTTCGAGTTGTGATCAGCACAACGTATTCTCGATACTTCAGAGGGTAGATTTCCTCACGCTATCGGGCTGTGATAAAGTAGCGGGTGTTCGCGGAAACAATGCTGTCTGTTAGCCGGTTTCGAAGTCAACGCGCTTGAGCCACATCGATTGAGCCGCCAGGCAAAGTGGGTTTGCCGACGAGTTGGCGTAACCTGCAGCGGTGCGTGTTCTGAACGCTGTTGTTTGCTCCATGTCAAATCACGTTTTCTTCGACATTCGTACTTTGGATACCCAAAGCCTTGACTACGATGGAGATATTACAACACATGAACTACGTCAGGAGTCTCGTCCTACATGGGTTCGCTATGTGATACCAAGCCAGCCCACTAACCTGTTATGGATTTCGTGGTGGTTGGTTCGCTTTGCGGGTGTTCTGAACATCACCTTGCATTGTTTCAAATACGCCAGCATGCCATGTTTGTCGCCATGGATGTTTGAGAAAAATATAGGAAATATCCGTTTTCTCCAGCAAAGGCAAACGATGACTTTTTGTTTTGCAATGCATGCATGTTGGTACACGTACGCGCGCACGATGACCGGGGCTTTCATCGTCTACTCTATCGTGAGATACTTCTTCTATTATTTTGAGGCGGCGACGTCAGCCGCCGAAAATGTATTTCCATTTCCCGTACCCCAACCATCCCTGTAACAACCGTGCGTGTGTCCCGTCTATTTGAGCACTCACATACACTGGCCCCATAGATGCCTCCGTTGCTTCGCATGAGAGTCCCTGCGTTCAAAATGCCCCTCCCAGAGCCGTAGAAGCACCCGCCATTTCCGCCGGCAGTGTTGTTGCTGCAAACAACATCGTTGAATTCGACTGTTCCAGTCGAGTCCCACCCGAGTACCTGCACGATAGGCACGAGTGAAGCAGAGTGTATCATCACCGATAGCTGACAAGTCGCGCACGTTGCGTCGAATGGAAGGCACGACCCCTATAGCAAGTCTGCTGGTCTAAAGTACGGCACGAAGAGCGCGTCGTCGATTCAAAGCGCCCCAAACGCACCCTGCGACGCACCATGCTCTTTGCTACCTCGACTACTCTCTCTCTCATGCCATACTATCCTCAAACCTCAACGGACACGCCGCGGCTACCAGCACCTCTTACCCCGCCGCCGCTCTGCATCGCGGAATTGTTCATGAACAGCGTGTTCCCCCCAAGCGTGGCTGTCGAAGCAGCCAACGCTCCCGCAAATCCCGGTGTGAAGTTGTTCTCAAGCGTGACTCCATCGATCGCCATGGCTGAATCAGTTCCTCCGAACAATGCCCCACCCGAGAGCTGCGCGTAGTTAGACTCGAATACGGAATCCGTGATGTTGACGACGGTGTGATAAAATGCTGCCCCCCCTCCCCCGTATAGAGTGATCAAGGGCGCCTGGGTACTGGGAGCCGCCATGTTGTCGTAGTCGAGGATGGTCTCGCTGGAGGCGTTGTTAAACGCGAATATCACACCGTTGAGAGAGCAAGAAGCGTTGTCGCTAGCGGATAGAAGTGTTGCATTCTCTGACCCGCCGCAGAACAGACCACCGCCCTCGATCGCGCTGTTCCCCTCGAACCGGGTGCCGTTTTCAATGGCCACCGCAGCGTCAGTGGCGAGAACTGCGCCACCGTTCCCGCTAGCGCTGTTCCCGGAGAACTCTCCTCCGACAATCGTCAGCTCCCCGCCTTCCACCCACACGGCCCCGCCATCCCCATCGGTGGCAATATTGCCGTCGAACGCACAACTGTTGAGGGTGACCGCCGCCATGCTGGAGCGAATTGCTCCGCCCCTTGCGGCTCTGCCGCCCGAAAGCTTGAGGTCCGTCAGAGTCAGACCTCCCGCCGGTGAAACACCGAACATCCTGATCTGGCCGCCGCCCCGCACCCCTGCTGTGTCGTTTTCTCCGGTGATGGACAGAAACGTCCCCGACCCAACAGAAATGGCAGTGTCGAGAGTAATCGCCCCCGCCCAGACGACCTCCACTGCCCCGCCGCCGGTGCAGTTGACGACATCGCCGAGAACAACCGCGTCGGCCGAGCTTTCGACTCGAAGCGGTGATGTATCACTAGACGTGCCGCATGCAACAACTTGTGCCCACGATGGCCATATTGGCCCTCCCGCCGAGACTAGTACCAGCGCTGACAAGAGCAGATAATTCATCCGGCAGAGCTCGCGCGTCGCCGTGTGGCTTGCTTGAAGGAGTGTTGGGCGCCAGCAATGTCCTCGCTCTGTTAGACATCCAGAGAAGGCGAAAGCGGTGCCGAGATGACACGTAGGCTTACGGTTTGGTTCATTCGTGCACCAACTTTGTTCGTTGGTCGGCACAAGTTCCTTTGGAAGGCGTTGATGCGGTAATGATTGTGAGTGATGACGTTGGAATTTCATCTCGGCCCTCTTACCGAACGTGGACATGCGTTGAAATACTGCAAGGAGGAGAGAACGCACGACTCTGTCGTTTCATGTGGATAGAGGAACAACGCGTAGAGAGCGCAAACAATGCAAGAATGGGACAAGGGACCGGATTGTTCCAGTTCGGGCACGGTTGTCGATGACAGGTATAATAATTGAAGGCGTGGTATTCATCCACCCGCACACAAGGGGTGTATGTCCTGCCGATGGTTTCGTAGGGGGTGTCGTGGCGTTTACTACCTGACTTGAGCATTGAAAACAGTGCGGACGGGAGAAGTAGTTTGTTTGGTATTTTTCCTCCAGTGAGAAATACAAGGTCATGGATGGATCCGGTTCTCTACCCTGGAGGGTTTATTGATACTCATGTTGCCTTCGGATTGAAAATTACAACGAAAAGCGCGCATGACGACCTTATCGAGACAAGCTTTAGGACGCTGCTGCTCTTGGTCCGCAAATGCGAGGCGTAATCACCGGTTCCGGAAAAACGTTGAAAAATCCAATTGAGGATCCGGGGGTAAGCGGTTCTGTAGCGGCTACAATGTACTGTAGTTAACGCGGTACAATTAGCGGCGATGCCTTGCATAGCGGGTTTCAATACATTCGTGTAGCAAATCTGCACAGGAAACGCTACCCGGGACCCCACCGTCGTATGCGTATTTACCGCGTAACCTCCCCCCGCGGACCCTTCGCGAGGTTTTCACTCAGGAGAGCTGCAAACAACATACTACACAGCGGCACAAACCGTTGTTTTTAGGGTTGTAGCGACACCATGCGAAACCGGCGTGTATACCACCTGTAGTCTAGACTTGTGTCGGACCTTTTACATGATAACAATTTCCGTCGCGCGGAGGAGGGGAGAAACCCAACCTGGGACTTGGCACAAGAATATAGTGCCGAACCTCAGCGCCTAAGTTCAAGGAATGCTACAGATATCCTTTACTCGGTATTCTCCCTGATTTTCGGGATGATGATGGGTATTACATACAGTAGTTGTGGGGGCCAGGGTAGACTATGTGCGATAGTTTTTGGTCGCATTTCTGAGTGTATCTTGGTTTTTGGTCGCGCCCCGGTGCCATAACCCCGCGAGGGGGTGCGAAACAACACCATACCCGGTGCCAGTGCGACAATGCTATTATTGCACTTTCAATCGCCCTCATAGACATTTTTTGCAATGCAACCCACCCAGTGCGATACCTCCGACGGATGCGATCTCGAATACTCCACAGCGGGCCTACGGTACTGTACATTGACCGCGGGGCGATGACCCCGACAAGGTAGGTGTTACACCACAGCGGCTTCTTGGTACCAGCAAATCTGCGGCAGCATCCTATCTACTAGACTATCATCATGCACACACACACGTCCACATTCAGAAAACCGTGTTGTTATATCGTCCAATTTCGTACTCGAAGTATTGTGTAGGTATGCTACCGTGCCGGTGTAAGACGGTACCTGATACTGGTAAGCAGCAGCTTGATTGACAAGTGGCCAGTGTTGACCAGCGACGGGGTGGATTGCGATTTGGCGTGCGCCAAAGGAGGACTAAAAAAGGTTGGTTGAGTGTCTCAAAATGCAGTCGACTACATATAAAGCACCTCATGAGAATGGAAAATTATGACGCACTCCTACGCGCGGACCGTGACAATGGCAACCGAGTGATACCTTCACCGCATTGATGGCCAGTACCAACTGCAAGCACGACGTACAAGCAGCTCAATGAGCTTCCCCGAGCCACTTACTTGCGGGTGCGATGACAGCGTGCGTGCCCGGTTCGAAAATTGAAACTACTGTAACTTCGTATGCTACTATTATTCTCGTCTTTTTGTTGCGCACCCCGGTGCCATCACCCCGAGGGTGCGAAACCACCGCTGTACCGGTGCCGCCCCGGCCGGCACAAGTACGGTACGTTGCTTGCAGTAAGTCAAACTTACTCTGTTAGACAGCCTGTAGCAGTTTTATTTCCGCCACGGAACAGCAAAATACCCCAATATCCACGGGCGGGAGAACAAATTGAACACAACCCAATCGTCGCTTGCACAATCCTGCCTCTAAACGTAACTCCTGAGAGAGCTTCTTTTGCACCCGTGAGGAACTCTTCTGTGAGACCGCGGATCCAGGCACTTCAGGTAGAGAGGCCGGGCCGGTAGTCAGCAGTTCAGATGTGCACTGAAAGCATGCATTAGGAAAAAAAAAAAAAAAAGGTGAAGATAAAACAACGGATGGAGAGGCACTCAAGCACTCCGGGCACGCGTGCTGCCGATGCGTTCACTTAGCAGGGATATCGCCGCGCTGAGGGCATACTCAGCGCGAGACATTCTCCGGTGCCGAGCACTCTCTGCCGCGACAGTACGCCCCATCCCAATCCGGTGCTTGACTCAAGAAGAGCGATTGGTCACACTGCTGTGGAAAACCGCGAATATTGGCCGAAGAGAAGCAGCAAGGCCCGCCCAGCTTTTAGTATCTTCCGATCTGATCGTGATCGGTACAATGCATACACCGGTGACTGGAAGGGCTGGATCCACGCAATCACGCACACACCGCAATGCACAGGTACCGCAACCGACAGAGGATTAATCGTACTCGAAGATGCCCAGCGTGCGAATAACCCAGTCAAGAAGAAGAGAAGAGAGAGAGCGATGCGTGGAGGCAGCCGCATTGAATCACCAACCCAAAGCATATCCGTGGATCTCTTGTCGGAGTTCTGGACACAGCAGAGAGGTGAATTGCTTGCCGCTTGAAGAGATGAACTGTTTGTTTGGCAACAACATACACATAGGAATGTAAATCACGAACTCCATCCACTCGCTCACCAATGCGTCAAGATCGCGATCGCGCGTTCGTGCGTTGGTTGCACCCTGTGACGTCCAGTATGCGACATGCACGCGCAGGAAGGGTGGTGCCGGGGTGCTCACGGGCGGTTCATTGCGGCCGCTACGGCCAGTTTGCACAAGAAGGGTAAAGAAGGGTATTCTTTATCTCATTTAGCGTAGGGTGAGGATCGATCACACAGGTTTGTCGTGGACCTGGAACCCACAGATTTACGAAACGTGCACGAAACCTCTTGACCGACGAGATACGGATCACAGCTATGCCTCATGGGTTCTCCTGCTAGATCATGGTACAGTTGTAGTCATGCAGGCCTTGTTCTAAATAGCTGTACCGGCTCCGGGCTCTCGAGCGCAGTTTTCGTGACACACGTGAGCCACCCGGCGTGGCGAGAGCAAAAGATTCGAAGTTTCTTCGACATGTTGTGCGACAAAAGCAAACGTGCTTCCGTATCTCAATCAATCGTCAACACAGGACAATCAACCGTCGTCAGTCCCCACAGGAAGGGTGCGGAGAAAAACAGATGGCCACGGTACATTATTGGTAGTCTTAATACAGGGGATACTACTGAATAACTCCAAGAGAGGCACTCAGTAAATGTTGGAGGAACCAACGCCACTGGCCAACCAGGCATCCGACAGTAACACCGAATGCGCGTCGACAGTACCGATGGGACTTGTCGTCTCTTCTTCAGCAATTCATACAACAAATACAAAGCTCTTTCTGTTTGACGACCGAAGGTACGAAGCCAAACGGGCGGGTGGTTTTACAAGTTCAAAGTACTACATAGATACAGTGTACATACTGTAGTGTCATACAGAAAAGGTCTCTGAGACGTACAGTAGAATAGAAAAAATCTCACACCAAAATTGGAAATACTACAGTAGGCATCGAACATAATTCTTGTGGACCCTCCTCCCCTTGCCCCATCATGCCGCGAACTAGCCACACTACGTCACCGCCACCAACTCTGGACAAACGACTCGCAACTGTCATTCGTTTCCGGGCGTCAACACAAACAGAAGGAGTCGTCCGCCTTGCCACTCTGTCGTACCCCTTCCTCCGCGAAGGCGGCAGAAGGGACGTTCACCAACCCCTCGCCAGCTGGAGCGTATCCCTGGCTAGCATTGAACCGCCCAGTGCCAGCCGACCCCTTCGTGTCGGCACGAACGCGACAAGCTGGTACCACCGGCGGCGGACGAGGAGGTCGACCAGAAGCTGGAGCTTGCAACGTGCGCGAGAACTGGACGCTGTGGACGGAGAGCTGTTCAAACGCCAACAGGGTCCCCGCCGCAACAGCGTATTCATCCATCGTCTGCTGCATGGAGAACCACGAGGCCAGCAGCACCGCCATGATGAGGAGCAGGTTGATAACGATCATTATCCAGCCGAAGACATCCCGGTTGCTGTCCCCTGCGGAGTCCACCTTGATCAACAAAGCTAGAAAATTGCTCAGGAAGATGCACATGCAGCCCTGCGATTGGGTATGAATTCGACGGCGGAAGCGGGAGAGGACAAGTTTCAAAGAGGCCCGAGCTGCGGGTCTAGACTACCCGACACGTAAGGACTCCGGCCATGGCCGCGGTTGGGTTTCTGAGCCTTCGTTGTCACAACTCACCAGGCGGTACAACCAAGAGTCCACGGGGTCCAGATGAGGCCGCAGGAGCTCAAAGCCCAGCAGGCTCACGAAGGCAAACATGCAAGCTGCAGCCACTTGTGCTGCCGTGTTTGGTGAGATGAAGATCAGCACTCCTGTCAGAAGTATCCTTCGCCCGCACTCGACCACCTCGTAGTAGTACATATCGGGACCTGCGCGGCGCAGAGGGATCGTGACTGGTCGGAGGGCAGTGCGTGTTCGCCACATGAAAGAATCAAGGGTGTCTGTCACACCCCCGAGATAACGTGAGCGGGAGGTCCCGTTTCTGCATTTCTACATCTCCCAACACTCCATACTGTGAAATCCAGCCAACCTTACGTTTTGGAGGGTACAGGCGAGGGGAGTTACCCTCCTCAGAGTGAACGTGACAATGTAGCGATGGGAGTCACGAAACCCACGCTGGGATTCAAACCCACGACTCACTTGTTCTACTGTAGAAGAGATTCAAACCACTACGTAGACTAGTCAGTGCAGAGCTTCAAAACAAAGTTTTGGGTTTGAAGCCCAGGCTAAACAGTTGAGGTAGTAGTATCCTGACACCACCATTGATTCTCATGGCCAGGGACGGGTCATGGGGAAACTCGTCTGAGACCCTGGAACATACTGCAGGAAGTGGGTGACGAAGTGTGATGAAATGAAGGTTAATACTCATCGGATCGATGGGAGTGCGGGCGAGGAAGAATCACCCTCCTCGGAGTGAAATTATCAAGTCATCCGGGCCTTAGTCTACAGTACGACTAACTACGAGTTTTGGAGGCCGATATCAACCCATTGGACTAGTCTGCTCCTGACCCACTCTAGTCAACAATTTGATGTTGGCTTATGAATTCAGGAACGAACCGAATTCAACCATTGGACTATCAGGCAGTACCGAGTGTTTGATTTAGGCTTGAGCCGTGGGTTCGAGACTCAGACTGAACATTTGAGGTGACTTTTCTACTTTGATCTTGGATACTGGTCAGAGTTTGGGGAATGGAAAAACTCTTCTGAGACCCTGGATTGTTTTGCAGAATGTTGGTGGCGAGTGAAGAAGTGAAGCTAAGTACTCATTGGATGGATATGTAGCAGTGCAGGCGAGGGGACTCACCCTCCTCGGAGTGAAAGTGTCGGGTCATTCGAAGCTACGACTAGCATGGTTTGGAAGCCAAATCAAACCGTTGTACTCGTGGCGGATTGATTTTGGCTGCCCTCGCAAGTCCAACGATTTGAGCCGGGGTCTAAAGAGGTCTAAACGAAACACCACAACATACGCCGCGTTAAGTGTGCCAAAACATCGAGGGAACAATCTAGACTGAGCCACGTGCTGAGAAAGACAGTTCATTACAAATGCCCCTCACCGAAGTCTTTCCACAGGAACATGGAGGGCACCAGGTCAGGGTTCCGCCTGCGCTTCTCCAACTTCTCTTCCAGGTCCTCTGACATGAACTTAGGTTTGTAAGCCTTGTTGGTTTTACGTTCGTCGGCGCTCGAGTCGACGAGTGTGCTTGCTTCCGCCGGAGGGTTGAGCGACTTTCGATTTCGCCAGAGAATGAAGGAGTACAGGAGAGGGACACCGATGGGGTATACCTGCACCGTGATGCCGAAAAGAACACGGGAAGCCCACCTGGTGAGTTACGTGTATTAACGTGTTCGAACGTGTACAACTTCGGGGGCAAACACAATTCGGAAGCACCAAGCCACGAAGGACCTACGACACGTAGGCAATGAGGGTCCAACCGAATAAGCTGTCGGCAAACGACAAGAGGGACGTTGGGCCGCACCCAAGGCTACGTTCCGCACACGAAACAGGCCACTCACCAAAATCATGATACCAGCATACACCTTGTACCACGTGTGCTTGTCCGTGTGGCACTGTATGCCGTAGTCCGCCCCGAGGTAGCTCTCTCCTTCCACCGCTTCATCGTCGCAGGCGAATGTCTTGAAAGCCATGGTAGAGGTAGCGATAAACACCTGTACAATTCGTCAATAATGGCGATCGACCGCGATAACCCGCTGATATTGTGTGTGTGTTTTCGTCCCATGTACTATGGCGATTGTCGCACCAGTTTTCGTGGTAAGACGTGTACAACACGTGTGCGCTGCTCAAAAAGGGTAAAATCTATTTTCTTCAACAACTGTCGTCACTCGAGCATAACCCTGAGATACATAGAGACGCACACCCATACACAGTCGTGGCGCTAAGTTCTATCAAACCCGAATCGTATGCGGATGGGAGGGGGGCGGTGGGCGGCAGAGTGGGTACCGTCAGCGCGGACGGTTCTCACCACTAACCGCGGAAGCTGGACCAAGCACAAGACGTTGAGCTCCGGTCTAAACACTTCAGATAGACGTATAATCCGAACCTAGAACGACAACGTAACTGCTAGTGACCTACACCCCTGATCGGATCATTCTCTGTTTGGGTGAACATTGACCGAATACCCGGTTCGGCTGAGGACTCACCAAGAATGACAGCAACAACCCTGCCGCCACGTGCCGCGACCACGCCGCCCTCCTCCCGAGAGCCCCGGCTGATCCAGACCCGGCCCTACGTTTCGCCATCCAATACGTCAACACCAGCACCATGGCCACCCCTAGAGGTACAAGGGTCGTTACCAGCAGTCTTTGATAGAAGTCCATCACTGGAAAGACACACGAGGCTGAGAGCACGTGCTCAAGGTCGAAGCTCAGCATGTTGATCCACGACAAGAACCGGGCGTAAGCAGGGGGAAAATCCACTGCAGTGATGCTGGGGAACACCGACAGGATCTGCCACACCACCACCAAAATTTTTATCTTGTCCATTGGCAGTCGTGCAGCCCACCGCTTGATCTTCTCGCCATGTCCGCAACACCCAGGCTGGCCGCCTCCCCGTACCATGGGCGGAGCGTTGTCATCCTCGGTGTCGGTATCGCTGGACGCGTCGGATTTCATCTCCGAAACGTCGACCTCCGAAACAGGTACCGATGTGACGCCCTTCCGAGATGCAGCTCCCTCGGCCCCTCGTTCTTCTACCTCCGAGGTTACCTTGAACGTTGGCGCAACGGAGTCAGCCAGCCTATCCCTCCCGATGGATTTGCTTGAAGAACCGGTCTTGTGTGAGCTGCTGTCGCGACCAGACAACACAGATCTGTCCCCCACGAAGCTGGTAGACAGCGACCGCCGAAGCCCCTCAACGGCATCGAGGCCCCCGACAAGATACGCCACCGTCAATATTATCAACAGCAGAATCACGAGAGCGAACAACGATCCTGCCGCAATGAGCAATCGCGACTTGGTGCCCTCGCAAGAGTGGCAACTGTTGCCGGCGCCCCTGCCGAAGCCCTCGGCACACACAGCGCAGTCTGTTGCCATCGGAAACACACAGACGGTCAAAAATGGGTTCCGGCAGGGTCAGGAAATTGATGGAGGATCAGCAGCCGAGATGAAATAGTTCTGCCATGGAAAATCTCCCACACCACATCCCAGCTACTCGGCGCTCTGATGTTAAGCATGCCGCCGACGCAACATCAGGGCCCCCTCCTTTCACACGAATCGACGCAAGTCTTTACTCACATGGACCCTGGTACCCTTCGCCGCAGTAGTCTTGTGCGCTCGAAATCTGAGCTGCACCGACACAAGCAGAGGAAGGAGAACACTGATGGATAGTCAGAGACTCCCCGCCAGAGCGCCAATAACCCTCCCGAACAGGCAATGAAGCCAACGTCGCCCCAGGGATCTCACAGTCCAGCCCCTCCGCACCGTTGACACTTGCACACTGCTCGCACGAGAAAGTGGTGTCTTCGCCATCCACTGGCATGGCGTACTCAAACGCCTGGCAGAGGTAAAAGGCCGAATAGACCTCAACATCCACGTCGGTCGCAGAGTTTGAGGTACCTACAGATGTGACGATGAATTGGCTGACCAGATCACCCCCCACCTCCTGCCCCTGGGGGCTGCCGGTAACGAGCACGGTAGCGTCTTCTCCGGGAGGCAACATTCCACTAGACGGAAGCACTTGCAAGAACAGTTCATCTGCCCCAAATGTCAGATTCCAGATGATGGGTGTACTTCCGTTTGCCGTCGTTGATACCAGGAGCTCGAAATACACCAAATCGGGACTGTACGTCACGTCGGGGGGAGGTGTCTTCAATACAATGGATAGAGTGCCGCCGCCGCCCAAGCACTCGCCATCCTCGAGACACTCGCAAAGCACTCCGAACGCGCTATCCACGCACTCTCCCGACCCGCAGATGCCGAGATTGTCACAGCCCAAGGCTCTGTCTACAAGAGCAAGCGAGCTGTTCACCACAGCGGCGTTCTCGATGGTGAGATCGCTCAAAAGGGCATTACGGATTCTGGCGTCCGAGTTAGGTGAGGTGACTACCATGCCCGCAGAAGTATTTCCGAAGTCGCAGCTGTCCAGCACGAGGGAGCCTTCAGCGGGGTTGGCGTTTTGGATCACGCTGTCACCCATCCAGCCGCCAAATACGCATTCCTTTGCGATCAGGGTGGCTCCGCCCTCGAGTTGTATGGCGCTGTTGGACGAATCCTCCTGCAAGATGACCCCGGACTGGAAGCTTACGCCTGACGCGATGACCGAGGTCTCGGTCGCGTACACCACTCCACCGCCAGACTCTACTGTATGAGTTACAGTGTGGCTCTGGAGATTGGCGGCCTCAACGATATTGGTAAAGAAGGCGGCGGCCCCCTGTGGCGCTTCGTTATGGAGGAGATCACAGCTGGAGTTTACCCAGGTGGCGTCTCGGGCGTAGATGCCCCCACCCTGATCGCCAGCGGTATTTCCTTGGACAAAGGCGCCCTCGCAGGAGAGACTAGCTTCTTCCTCGAGAAAAATGAATCCGCCAAAATACCTGGCAGGCAAAGGAAGAAAGATGGAAGTTACGGCCCGCGAACATCGGGGACATTGAAGACAGGCGTATCAATGCAAGGGAGTGCAATTGGGCCATTGAGGCGATGGCAATCTGTCGCTGGCAGGCGAGTTCGGCCGTCCACTTTGCCTCCCTACCGCGTCGCATGCATCCGATCGGAGGACTCGGACACGCCGCAGCTCCCTGTAGGCTAGGCGCCTCACCATCACCCACACACAAGGGCCTGAATCGTACCGAAAGCCGCCCCGGGGGATACAGAGGGACACCACTGGTGGTTCAAGATTTTAACTTGCGTTAATGATTTGGGGTGCGCGCACGGATAAAATTGAAACAAGATTCATGTCAACCCGACCTATCGATGCACTCACTTTGCGCTGTTGTTGTGGAAAACGCCGCCTGTGACGGTCACGACGGTGGGGGTTCCCCACGCCGCAACGCCCCCTCCAAGTTCTAGCGCCCGGTTGTTGCTAAACGTGCCTCCCTCGATCGTGACTCTGGAGCCTCCCATATCTAAGCTGTTCCCGGAGCAGTACACCTTTGAGCATATCGGGTAGGCGACGACAGGTTCTTCGGGTCAAAGGAAGACACTTCACATCAAGTCTTTGACAGAAGAACCCTTGCGAGCAACACGCGCCCCCCTCTGGCACAATCGTGTAGAAAGTCACGAGCCGGCGTGGGGATACTCATGCCACACGTATGCCACCCGAGACAGGTGTGGCGACTGCAAAAGGATGGGGATGCAAAGATGGTGCGAAATTCGAGTGAGAGAGAATCCTGCGCCCATCACGCGAAACTAATTGGACTGGGAACGGGATCAGTTCTAAAACCAACTCGAAGGGGCGGTTCCTCAATCCCAGTGACCGCCCCGATACTGCCGGTCCTCGATCGTCCCGAAGGGTGGACGTTCACGCAGCAACCTCACCCACCCGGCCCCCTCGGTGTGTGTTGACGGTGTCTGCCAAAACGAAGGGAAAATGCAAACGCTGTGTTCTACTTTGCAGTGTCCTTCCATCCACCCACGTACCGCGCCTCCTCTTCGCGCGGCCACGTTGTCCGTCACGGTACCCCCCTTGATGGTCACCACTGACCCGTCGGAAGCAAACGCGAAACCACCGTTTCTGGTCGACTGGCACTCCCTAAACTCCCCGCCGTGGACGGTGACATCACTGCCGTTTAACGCATCTGCGTATTTCGTGCCAAGAGGAAGCGAAACAGAAGATGTTGTTGGATGGCGCATGAGCGACTTGCTCAATTGAGGGCATATTCTTCGCTAGACGTACAATATTCTCTTCAGTATTGAGCAGTCGTTTACCGTATTTTTCCGAAACTGGAGAACAGCATGATGCCATAGTCTCAATCCCTCCACTTTTCTACGAAATCCTATGAGGTGAGCATTGGGACGCGACATGCGGCGGCACCACTGTGTCCGGCAACAGTTCCCGTCGGAAGCCACAATTGCTGCCTATCGGAAAACGTTTTCAGCTCTCTAGACATTTTCACCTTTTTACCTCCTAGGTTGGACGGTGTGTGGGTGGAAATTCCAAGATGAAGACGAGAAAAGGAAAAAACGACAGAAATATGTACCAAAAAGAAGCGTGGACATGAGTGTGCTCTACCGATATGTAGATCGTGTACCAAGCACCCTTGTGCATAGGTTTGTAGCCGTGTTCGTCATTGGACCCGGCTGCAACGTGACACTACCATCCAAATTTAAAGCTTCGCCCGCGAGAAGAGTGTTCTCACTCTTCTCAGTATTCGATATACCTTGCCCAACACCACTGCTGCTGAACACCTGGACCACTTGAAGTAAGGAAGCACTCACATAAGCAGCCCCCGCTTCGGGATATGTTCTCTCGCATGACCGTCCCGTTGTTGATTGTTCCCCCGCCTGTGGTGTAGAAGCACCCCCCTTTTTCATCTGCTAGGTTGGTGCTGCAAACGACACCACTCGAGAACTCGATTCTTCCTGCCGTATCCCACCCAAACACCTGCGCACCAACCAACATGTGAATTCGTGATACTTCCGAGCTTGAAACGATCGACATTCGGTATCTCTGCAACATTCGGTATCTCTGCAACACTTTGCATGTGCCCGCTCCCGGCAGAATTGAAAACACCAGCTTTTCGTTCGTCAGACTCTCCACATCACAGTCCCTCCATCATCAGACAGCGAAAGAAATAGCGAAGAACAGGAGCCGATGCAGTCAAATACAGAGTTTTGAGTAGAAACACAAGGCTGCAAGTGCGTCTCGTGTTTTTGACCCAACTGCCCCCCCCCGAACACCGAGCATGTGATGAGATGGGGGCTATGTAGAGTGACCAACGTTCTCTCGATCGGAACAACTGCAAACCAATCCAGTGAATTCTGACGCACTCACCCCGCCGCCGTTCTGCGTGGCCAAGTTGTTCGTCAGCACCGTGCTTCCCCCCAGGGTAGCCGACGATGCCGCCACTGCGGCCCCATGCCCTGGCGTGAAGTTGTTCTCGAACCAGCAGCCGTCGATGGCGATGGCTGCATCAGTTCCCCCATACAACGCCCCACCCGAGAGCTGCGCATAGTTCCCCTGGAACTCCGAGTCCGTAATATCCACCACGGCGCGGTAAACTGCTACTCCCCCGCCGCCGTAGAGATTGACCCACGGCTCCGTGATGGCATCGTAGTCGAGGATGGTCTCACTGGAGGCGTTGTTGAACTCGAACGTCGCGTCGCTAAGAGAGCAGAAAGCAGTGGCCCCAGCGGATAGCAGTGTCGAGTTCACTCCCCCTCCACAGTACAGACCGCCGCCCTCGACGGCCCTGTTGCCCGCGAACCGGGTGCCGTTTCGGATCACCAGCCCGGCATCGATCGCGAGCACGGCGCCACCGTTCCCGCTAGCGCTGTTTCCGGAGAACTCTCCTCCGACAATCGCCAGCTCCCCGCCCTCCGCCCTCACGGCCCCGCCATCCCCAGCGGTGGCGAAGTTGCCGTCGAAAACACAACTATTCAGGGCAACCGTCGCCATGCTGGAGTGAATAGCTCCACCGCTTGCGGCACTACCGCCCGAAAGCTTGAGGTCGGTCAAAGTCAGTCCTCCCAACGTTGAGACATAGAACATCCGGGTCTGGCCGCCGCCGCGCACCTCCGCCGAGTCGTCTTCTCCGGTGATGGACAGAAATGTTCCCGCTCCGACAGCAATGGGAGCAGTAAGAGTAACCGCCCCAGCCCAAACGACTTCCACCGTCCCGCCGCCGGTACAATTGACGGCAGCGCCGAGTGCACCGGCTTCGGCAACTGTTTCTACTCGGAGCGGTGGGCTGCTGTCACATGCTGTCGTAGGTATTTGCGCCCGCGCTCTTGATGATGGCCCTCCCGCCGAGGCCAAAATCAGCGCTGGCAAGAGCAGCAAACGCATCCGGCAGAGTTCGAGAGTTTCCGTGTTCCGTTGTTCAAGGAATGTTGGATGTCGGCAATGCCCTCTCGCCCTGAGAGAAATCGACAAATGGCAGCAGAGGGAGACCCAAATGGCACATGGGTCACTTACTACTGTACGTGGTGTGCACGAAATACTCTGGTGTAGCCATTCGTTTCATTTGCGGTGTGATGTGGTCGTGCCAAGAGCAACATATTGTTAGCCGTGGGCCTTTTAAAAAGAGCGGAAGCGAACGTTTACGTCGATTTTTTAATAAGACGGTCAAGAAGACGCCAACAATTGACAGTTCGCACGGAAGACAGAAGGGCAGACAGAGGAGTGCGCAGCAGCAGGCACGGAACAAGATTATTGAGGCCCTGAATCGGGAGCGTTATGCTCGTACAATGGCACGTTCGTTAGTCTCTCTCCCCATCCCTCCGGGAAACACTAACAAACAAACAAGCCGGCCCAGTCCTGCACACTCCTATACAACGAAACATGGTGATAGTGTACTCAGGGAGCGCATTCTACACTACGTGCTTCAATCTTGTGAAAAGGGAAGAATACATATCTATCATGCTGATCCATGGGTACGCCTCTTCTCTCGCCTCCGTGTGTCCGACCCGACGTCAGACCTACGTGCCTGCACTAGGCGCTTTCTTCTGACCTGTGAAAAGTTCCTACCAGTTATCGTATGGAAACATTCTTCAATGATATTGTGGTCGGAATGACGTGTGATCGATGCGATAATATATAGGCAATGCACGTAGTGAGTGGCTTCCTTCGTGTCTGATGCAAGATACTGCAAGATTGTGTGTGTTCCATTTTCCGCGCCATTCTTCATTTTCTGTTGATATCCATCTTTGCACATTTCTGTTGTTTTTGGAGGCGGGAGCACGCAGGAAGAGGGCCACACGCGGCAATAAATCAAATCTCCACCTTGCCAGTGCAGGCTATGCTTTTGTTCCATCATTTCATCTCACCGCCAGTCTACTTTTCGCGTTTCGATATGAATACATATGTGTTTGACGTACCAGCCGGGATCACACAGACACTATGAACTACATATATATGTTCCTTTCCTCCCTCGATGATAATCCTCCAAGTTCAACGCGAGGACGGCTCACCAGTCTCGTCTCTCTTTGCCTCCTGTGCACGCGGGGTCACGGTGTGCTTTTCACGATTAAATCGCGATCGCTTCACTCCAGAGAGTTATTGCCAACATTGCGTCGACAGAGAGGCTACCCTTTTCATTGCAAACAGGTCACAGCCCCTTGTCGACCGCGAAGTCGATTGTTGTTCATAACAACCTACAACAATCCTGATTCACCTTTCTTTGGAAACGGCTGTGAGAAATCAACCCAGTTCGTATGACGGCGCCGAGGATCGACGCCCCAAATGAGTGAGGCTAGGAGGTACCCAACCGAACCACTGAGGCAAAGATCTGCTCACGGACGAATGGCTACATGAGGTTTAGGCATCGAATCTGCATCGTTCGTGGTATTCCTCCAAATCAACTGTGCTTTCACAGAAACAAAAGTGAACATATTCCAGCGTAGGAGAGTGAAATGGGAAGCCCCCCAGCACTATGCACACAAAAAGTCCATATGTCATCTGTAGAAACAGACAGAGTAACACACGAGAGCCCAACACATAGCTGCGAGTCCCTGTAGACCCTCTGACATTAGACTATCATTGAAGAAAGGCCACAGCACGAGTCTACATGTTTCGGTATATACACACGCCCCCAAAAAATGCTGAAGCCAGGTGCACTTGAGAAAAACGAGAAAAAATAATACTACTACACATAACCGGCAACGCGAATCGCAGCATCGGCAGGTTAATCGGGTTTACCGGAGAACGCCTGCTTCCCTTATGCACGTAACATCTGAGACGCTCGGAGGAGAGCCATGCCAAAGAGTACACCTCGTCCTCGTCTGGAGGCAGCAACTACAAAATAAAGCGGCGAGCGTTCCGCATGCCACTGGTTTCATTTCACTGGGGGCGTCTGAACGAGTGAATGCCCTGCTGACGATTGGTTACTTGTGACTCGAATCCATTCAGTACGGTTTTCGTTCGTTGATCGTTTGGTTTTTTTTCCTCTGACAAAGTGTATGGGTCTGGCTTACCGTATACGACACAAGATACCACGACACCTGGACCGATTTTCAAAGCTCGACTACTCCACGACGAAGAGGATGCAAACGAAACGATACGTTTTCGGAGAGCTTTCGACCAGACGTTTTCAACACCGCCACCGTTTTCGTCGCTGCGACTCTCTCTGCTGTTAATAAATTGAGCTATGACAATAATCTGTGGACGAGTATCTGTGCCCCAAATTTCTTCTGTACTACTGGCCCTTTTATCTTTCGGGAATGATCCCACGCAGCACCTCCTTGTTAGTCATGAAATTTTCCAGTCAGTGCGCCGTTTGTATCACATCTGTTTTGATTTCGATCCATCATGCTCAAAGTGATGCCGGCCTCTTTCGTTGCTCAGAACAGATGGAATGAAAGAAACATCGAATCCTTCCTGGGAACATCTGGAAGTAGTGTGTAGATCATCGTACAGCCATCTTGATGTGCAATAGATGCGTGTGGGTTAAACTGATGGTGTACTTTCTTGCGGTGCTCTATCGGCTGGCCAAGGAAGTTAAAACGTTCGTAAGACGCTTTCACTACATGTAGTCAGTATACCCACTCCCACCAACCCCCCGTGGGTTTTCGTCGATGGGCAATGACGTTGTAAAGCACGCCGATCGCTTCGTGAGGTACCTTTGTTTTTCGTTATTTTCGGTTTTCATGATGATGGCCGAGTAGATCATGTCGTGCAGGATCAAGAACCCTCACTCCGCGGAAAGGGAATGATCGAACCACGTTATGAAAAACTTTGGCCCAAACATCCTCGAGGCGTTGTACAGTACTTACAACTTGTCTCTGGAAGTGAAAGCACCAGAAAATGGATTAAGCCATTCGCAGGTGTCATCCGTATGCACGGAATAATAATCACAAGATGATGACCTGGCAGGGTACAGCGCATCCTTCATGCGACTCGCCGAATTTCTCACGGTGCTTCGCGCTTGGTGATGTGCTAGCCTGGTCGGGTCAAAACCCGGCATGCTCCGTCCCGGCTATATTGGGACGCGAGGTCAATGGTCTAACGACTTGTATGGCATGCACGGCTATGAGTACATCCCTAACCAACGCAGAGAAGTCGAACTTGGTGATGGCACGTATGAGCTGTCCGCAAAAAATTGGTTTTGTATCGCCACGTACTAGTACTTCTTCACTCGCCTTGCACATTCGTACGGTGTTGATCGAACGAGGCGGGTAGACGAAAAGGAAATTCGCAGCCAGGGTAACACGCCCGCCCATCGACTGTTTAGTCACGTCTTGATAGTTGGTTACAGCGCCCCGTGACAAGGATTTCCAGTTGAAAACGACCACGTTTACTGACCGCCACTTCTGTGTCCGATTAATAATTGATGACACGAGGTCAACCGATGAGCGGGTGAATCAATTTTTGTGTACTGTAGGAAGTTTTCCCCGTCGTGTGTGGGGGAAAGGAGCGCTATTTGGGAGGCGACGGGGGCGCAAGCTACACACACATGGTGCACTCAGTCTCATGCACAACTCTTCCCTGCTTTTTCTCTCTCAAGCTGTAGACTAGTGGACGTTATTAGCACAGAAAGTTGCACCATATACCCTGGCTGTACGTTATGGCTTCATCGAGTCTCTCCCGGAGTGAAAAGAGTGAAAAAAAAAACACAGGAAGATACCATATACAGCAGTAGTATCGTGAGTCAGACAAAAGGAGGGAGGACACTCCGATTCCTTCTCGTGTTCAAAGGCTCGCTACCGCAGGAAAGAAAGTTAAGAACCCTTCCTCCTGTGCGGCCCCGGCTGGTGCGTTAAACAAATGTGCCCCGAATGGGGCTGGTTATTATGATTCCCGCGCACAACGGCCTTCTACGGTGTATCAAGATAAAATACGTGTGTACAGTAGAGGGGAAGAGAACCTTATTATACATTCGCCGACACCTACAGTATTATTACCCGCCTGACAAGCTGTGCGCCTACATAATGCTGTTTTTTTTTTGTCTCTTTATTGAGCTTGAACTTGTCAACTCCCGGCAGGCGCGTGCTGTAAGCGTGTACCTGTCAGGTCTTTGGGCCCATCCATCGGAAGCAAGTAGAGCAGACCCACAACGATTTGGCATGCATGGTTTATTTCATCGGTGTCTGCAGAGAGGGAATCCGAAAGTACGCTATCGGGGTCATCGCCTGTATGCATACTGGATCGTGTTTCTGCTATTCGAGCGGTGGGTTCATCACGCCATCATCGTCGCATGATTTGTTGTTGCGTGACTACTACGGCACATGTAGTAGACTACAAGTACGCAATAGAGTATGCGTAGTCTACAACGAGAACGCTGCCGCCGGGCATAACAATTCTTCGATCCGGGCGGATGTGTACTGACAAGTACTGATCATATTGATTGGTGTGCCAACACCTCATTGATCGGCGGCTGACGAGACGTGCTGGTATGGGCGGCTCCTACTGACGTAGTCTATGTAATAATAACAAGGGTCGGGCACCATCTTCAACGAATATCCGCTCATCATATGTACGTTGTACCGGCCTCCATAGTGTGTGAAAACAATACGCGTCACCATCATGAACCCTATGTACTGCACACGGCAACACAGACCCCCTTGTGTCTCGCGCGTGCTCGTGCTTACGAGCCCACATGCATGGAACGAAGGTGTGAAGCACATCGTCACTGATGATGCCATCCTTGAGGTGGGACGAAGACGTGTAGAAGAAAGAACAACAATGTGAGCAAGCCCGCCGTTCGATGTGTCTTTGGATGCACATCATCAACAACAACGGCACAAGCAGTAGGCGTATCCCCGCCCCTCCGTGCAAGATATTCACATACATGGAAATTACAACAAACTGTAACTCGCGATCGGCGGAGAGGGCCCACAGACCACGATAGC